ATTAAAACATGCAATTGGTGCACTATAGTAACCAGGCTCTCAGTATTCCTGCAGAGCACTTCTGGCTAAATTTTATGTCGAATTGTTTGACAGGCAAAGTTTTTTTTCCAAGACTCTTAACACATCATAAACATGATCACATACTTATATATTAAAACTAGGGATGCACCGATACAATACTTTTCAGATACCAGTGCCGATACTTGGTATTTTCATCAGAACTACCAGGGTTGCAGCGGTTGCAGCTGGGACCTGGCTCTGGTGCTCCACCACTGTCCTGAAATCATTAGTCTCTATTGTTTTAGAAAAACTGCCACATGACAATAAACAAAAATGTATCAGTACTTGTATCTGTGAGTACTTGGGCAAGTATCAGTACTTGTACTTGAAAAAATGGTATCGGTGCATCCCTTTATTTATAGTTATAAAAACAAAATCATATATTAAAACAGAGATGTACAAATCCCAGGAGCTCCGTGTGCTCCTTACAAATGACAGCTGCCTCCTAACTTTTGAATTTTTCTCTAGTGTAGTGTTGGAGCTGGAAAAGTATCTGTACTTGTACTTGTACCAAGTACGGTACTTGGTATCGGTGCATCCCTAATCAAAACATGCAAATGGTGCACTATAGTAACCAGGCTCTCAGTATTCCTGCAGAGCACTTCTAGCTATATTTTATGTCAAATTAATCAGACAGGCAATTGTTTTTCTTTTTCTTTTTGCAAGGCTCTACTCATTATAAACATGATGATGTATATATCTTAAAACATGCAAATGGTGCACTAAAGTAACCAGGCTCTCAGTATTCCTGCAGAGCGCTTATAGCTAAGATAAGACATTCACACAGATGTATGCATACTGTCAGTTACTGTGATCCAGAGGTATGATCCAGTCTGTAGTTAGGCTTTGAGACCCGGGGGAACTTTTAATTTGCATATTATGCTATAATATTCCTGGAAGTTGAATGGTTATAACTGCTTATATATTATATGTAAACCCAATTGCTAAAATATCATATCAACTTTTATATTTTTTTATCATTTTAAAAGTCATTTTATTTATATTTAAATCTGCAACATTCAATAAAATAATAACCGGTGATCCTGCCATGTTTTCCAAGCTCTAAACATATTTTGCATTATATATTAACCAGGCTCTCAGGATCCCTGCAGAGGGCTGCTAGCTGTGTCACATGTCAAATGTCATGTTTTATGTTAAATGTCACATGAGTCAAAAAGGCAAGTCACATAACGTGCTGTAGTATGTGCACTGTCTCTTACCTTTACATAGATGCACAGTCTTTAGCCAGGCGTTGAGACCCAAAGAACCTTAAATTTACATATTATAATGTTCTTAGAACTTCGATTATTATAACTGCTAAAAGTTTCCGGTGAACACAGTTGCTAAAATCTCAAATAAGCTTGTAATTAATTAATTTTTAATATCTGCAGTTAAATCAATATATAGATATACTGCTACCATATTTCTTATAATAAAAAAAAAATCTATCCTTTATCTTTCGGTTGAAAAAAACAATGTTAAACACCATTAAAATTACAATTATTAAACAATGTTTGCATTGCCCATACATACTGGGGTGCTCTAGGCATGTGCCTAGTTTGCCTGTATATAACTCATAAAACAGCAATCCAAAGACAACAATGTGATTACATTGTCTAATAAATAAATAAAAATGCCATTGCTAATGAAGTGCAAAAATGATAACTTCAATTATATCAAATTAATTTGATATCATTGTATAATATTTCTCTCTAAGTTTATTTTTATCTCACAGCACGGATTGTGGTTTTAATCTATAGCTTACCTAATATATTATGTACACTTGACTTATCTGTGCCATCATTAATATTTTTTTTTGTGCTGGGACTCGGAAGATTTTCCAGGATTTTCTTAGTGATTTTGCACAGAATAGGCACAGCGGAAAAGTGGAATGTATTGATTCCAATTAGGGAAACATTAAATAAGCCTCTCTTCCCTCGTAACAATGCTTATGGCTATTCAGTGCCCTTAATTCCAGTGGTCTGATGGCTCCATCAGCCTGAGGAGAGGTTGTGGCTTCAATCTGATGGCATATTAATAGGAAATCAGGCCTGTTGTAATTTAATGGACATCCCCATGTCCTAAAATAAAATTCACATTGCAAATTTACCTGCTAAGACATTTTACAAGATCACTAAACAGTCACCCTGCTTTAGTGCATTTTCCTAAGATTAAAAAGGGATTCAGAGATGCAATTTTTAGAATTTGCTTGCAGCCCCATCTGCAGGTAGACATGGGCCTGTAGCACCAATTTTAAATATAATGAAGCTCTAAGAGAGGCAGGTCAGCACCTATGCATGGGCTGTAGGAACATCCTTAACTGCACACTAACCCCAGACAATCGTTTATTTTACCCTATGTGTATCTCCTTCCAGTAAAAGTCAATCATTCACTTTACAAAAGCATTCATATATTTTTATACATGGGGAAAATAAAAACTCTTCCTTTGGTAAAAGACTTTAATTATTTTAAGCTCAACTTAACAATAATTGTTCTGAATCATTTTGTGATCTGCCTAATTATGTCATTCTCTTTTGTCTGGAAAATGAGGATTTATTGCACATTGCAGGTTCTGCTTCATTATGTGTCTGCTGTTTTCTTCATTGAGTGGGATAGCCAGTTCTAAAATGAACTCATCTACAACCAACTTGTGTAATATGTGAGAGTTATTGATATAGTTCATTAAGATAGATGCAATTGTTAGAAGTATATACGAGACATATAAGAAAAGATCATGGAGACCAGGAAAGCATTTATATGTGTACAGTTAAAACTCCAGAGAATGATCTGCTAAAAAAAATGTTAGTAGACAGGATGCCATAAATTGTGTGTAGTGTTGGCTACCTGGACGATGCTGATGGCTGCAATGATACGCAGTAGTGGGTTGCAATAGTTGCCAACAGTTAAAAGCGGACCTTGGTCTAAAAGCCCGTATATGTGGCTGCCCCCCACCCTCTCTACACAAAACACTGCATTACAGGAATTAAAGAAATAAAAAAACATACTAAAAGAAAATTCATGAAAAAATATTACTCCCTGCTTCCTGTCACTGACGTCAATAGGCCTCATAGAGGGATCCTGGAGAAGCTTAGGATCCCAATTCTTGTAAGAGGATGCTACTGCACTGTATAGGAACACGTTCTTGCAGTAATTGGGATCCTTAACTGTCCCTGGATCCCGCAAGAAGACCCACCTACATTTCCTTGCCTAGGCGAGTCCTGGGAGTAAGGTAAATATTTAACATGATTTTCTTGCAATGTGTTTTATTTCTGTAATGAAACATTTTGACAGTGGGGGAGGGGGAGAAGAAGTGACAATCACATAACCATACAGTTATTATAGTATTATTGTAAGGTCAGCTTTAAAATAGTTTTCAAAGAAACACATTTCGATGCCGAAGTGGTGGTTCCAAGATAAATATGTATATTATCACATACATTTTTTTGTATGTTATCAATGTTTCTAATTATTAACTTAAAGGGGTTGATTTACTAACCTTTTAAACACACCACGAACGTGTATACACCTCTGTAGTGTGTTCCCTCCCAGCATGATCTATGGGAGGAATCGAAACACCTTTGTAGTGTGTACACACCCAGCAGGTGTGTTGTGCAAAGCCCTGCAATGAATTGCAAGGTAATGTGGTGTAAATTAGCTCTATGTTATGTTGCTTGCGTTGATGAATGCAGGAATGTAAATGCATGAGCTAACCATTTTTGTCTAAACTGTGAAGCAGCATTATATATGCATCATGTGCATGATTTTTCCATATATGGCATTAGTGGAAATATGCTTTTAGAGACTTTTTGGTTGATAAATACGTTTTGCTGTGTGAAAATCACACACACCTGGTGTGTGTGTGTGTTTAGGTTAGTAAATCACCCCCAAAGTGTCAGTTCCTTCTGAATGTCACCCCAATGCTCAGTATAAAGCAGGTCACCTGCCCTTGAGGCACAGATATAAATGCTCTCACATTGTGGTGTGCTGTGTTGCCCAACAAATGTTTGTCAATGTGTGCATAGGTTGTGTATATAGCCTAAAGGTTCAGTCCATACCCAACTGATATTTTAACTATTGGTGGTGCCTGGTGGGTTGAGTCAGCCTCTGACTTCTCATATGTCATGGATACATTGAGATTGTCCTGCCATAATTCTTGACCCTGTTCCTGTATACCTGTGTGATGTGGGTGTTCCTGACCACCTTGGTGTGTCACAGCTCCTCCTTTTATATTCTCCATAATGTAGAATAAATAAAAAATGCAGCGTGGAAACCCCTCATAATGGGCACGTCATGGAACTCAGCGCAGAGATCATCTCATGAAATAGTAGAATCTGTAAGATGATTTAACTCTCCATCTTCTACCAAACACTAAAATATCAGTTTAAGTGGACCGCCCCTTTAAGAAATATTCAGCAAAATGCAGATTGGCTTAATATTGCCAGCCCTTGATCAAAAAGTGTACAACAATTTCCAGCACTACAGCAGCCATGTAATAGCAAGAAAACCTTTTATCATAGTCTTCTGAAGTAGATATAAACCATTCCTAGCTAGTACAACACTAGATATGACAAGTAAAGGCCTTCTCATTATATCTTGTGTATTCTGTAAATGTATGCATGTAATGACATCTGATACGGAGCTGTCCTAAGGCCATTCCACTAATGCACTTACGTCTGTTTTTCCATGATTTTTGCAAATGTTTCAGATATAATCAATAAAATGATGCTGCTCTGAATGATGGCCATCCATTCCGCCAGTCTTTGTAATGTTAAATAGAATGCTACCTTGTTTTGCAGTATGATATAGGCATGTCTAGTTATGGTAAGAAAGTCACTATTTTTTGCGTCACCACAGAGGAAGAAATGTTTTTCACCTAAAATACATGCATAGGTATATTTGGGTGGAGGTATGGCAGATCAGGAGAGCGGAGCCACCTCGATTTTTTGTTTTATATGTCAGAAGGTAAAACTCAACTGTTCACAAAACCTTTAAAAGTGATTAAAGGAAACCAGTCATGGAGAAATATGTTGAAGGGAGTCTTCCCTTCAATTCCTGTTCAGTGGAACCAGCAGGAAGTCAGAGGAAATCTGTCCAATTGGAGGTTAAATGCCTTCTTGAACAGTTACCGCTAAAACAGTTGTCCCCATTGGGGGAATTCTCTTCTATTGCTGTTCTGCTGACAACTCAAAAAATTTTGGATTGCCTATCTTCAGTTACAATGAGTGCGGTCACCTGGATAAATAGAGAGACTACATCATTTTTATATATATATATATATATATAAGGGATGCACTGATACCATTTTATCAAGTACAAGTACTGATACTTGTCCAAGTACGCACAGATACAATTACTGATACATTTTTGTTTATTGTCATGTGACAGTTTATCTAAAACAATACAGACTAAGGATTTCAGGACAGTGGTGGAGCGCCAGAGCCAGGTCCCAGCTGCAACCTCTGCAACCCTGGTAGTTCTCATGAAAATGCCAAGTATCGACACTGGTATCTGAACATCCCTAGACTGGTACCAATGACAAAATTGAAAAGCACAAATAAGATAGCATGCCAATCCAAATAAAAATAATTTGTTGACAGTCACATGCCAAAAAACAAGTGACACAGTTTTGGGGAAACACGGGGGGGGGGGGCTGTGGGTAGCCTGTAACTGTTCGGCTCCAGTTTTGATAAATTCCCCTTTAAAAAATATGTCAATACAAAAAAGGGGACCTGCAGGTTGGTGCTTGTATCTTGCGGTATGTGTCAAAAAGGTCTTGATCCCAAATGATATATATAGTATATATTATATGAGAGATATAGATAGATAGATAGATAGATAGATAGATAGATAGATAGATAGATAGATAGATAGATAGATAGATAGATAGATATGCGTGCCTTTGCAACAAATTATCATTTACTTTGAAAAGTATGATTTTCTATGTCATTGTTTTTAGGTTTTTGTATTGTATCACTGTTAGATAATAAAAGCAGATGGTTTACTAATAACTCAGATGCTTGGTAAAAAAAACCCCAACAACCTAAGATGTACGGCAGCACGAGCTGTTATTTGGAATGTCTAATAAACTGCGGCTTTCATGGTGATATTTTTAAACTCTGTCTTTCAGGAAGCGTGCTTCTCTGATATCGCTTTATGATGTATGGGAGGTTCTCAGGCTCAATGATACACCGATGATTGCTGTATTTTTGGAAACAGAGAGATCTTGCTATTGATTGTGCCATGCTGTGGTCTATTTCTTACAGATAACAAGATTGTCTCACATTTGCTGGTGGCTGAGCCAGAGAAGATCTATGCTATGCCTGACCCAACCATTCCCGACAGTGACATCAAGGCCCTCACTACCCTGTGCGACCTGGCTGACCGGGAGCTTGTGGTGATCATTGGGTGGGCCAAGCATATTCCAGGTATGTCAAAGAACAATGAATTAAGAATTAAAAGGGCCATTCCACCCTAAAGTGATGAATCTGGCTTTTTTTTGGTAAATGCTGGAGTGTTAAAGCAGCCAACACGTTTTTCTGTGTGTCTGGGAATTTATTGGGGGAGATTTCCCAGGTCTGCACACCTGCTGTGACCTTTATAAAGGGCTCTCAGTCTCGGGAGTGGGAACACCCAAAACTCCCAGGTGGACAGGAAGAGAGTTGAATATTGTGGCAGGAAATCTCTTTGGAATATCGAAAACATATAAGAAGCCAGGGGCTGACATGGCCCACTAGATTCCACCTAATACTTTAGGAGAGCCTGCCACCTTGCCCATTCAGGGTAAAATAGCAGGGCTTGTTTAAAGCCTGCCCCACTGGCCACCTTATACTCTGCTCAATAATGTTTCTTTACGGTTCCTTCTTCTGTCATGCCCACTGCAAAATATGTGCTGCTTCCAGGTTTGGGGGAGCATGTGACCTCCACATGATGATGCCCTAGGGCTCAGTCACATGACAGAGGGGGTGACATTACTATACCATATGTATGTTAGGGCAGCTAAAAGGGTCAGAGTGGAATGTTTTTTTAAGGGTAGTATCGGATGGTAAGGAGGTTGGCTTTAAACAGGCTCTGTCACTTTGCCTTGTATGAGCAAGCTATTAAGGCCTTTTTAAATATCACCTTTGGGTACATTGAGCCTGCATGCTTCACAGTGGTTTAAGTTGAGAGATATGATGGTAAATGAAGGGAGCAATGTGATTCTAAAACAAGGCTTCTATGGACAATAAGTGAAGTTATTAAAAGACTTGGATGGGAAAGATTACACCTGTAGCAATATCAGAAATTCCAATTCATCTAAACCATGGTTGTGTAAAGTCAAGCAAAGCCATTCTTGTCACAGGATACCCTGCTGTGCTTTCTCCATTTCCTCTTCCAATATATGTGTGTGAGGCTATAGCAGGCTCAGAAAAAAGCCAGCAGTGGAACCAATAAACATGTTAGCCTGCTTTTTTATCAGAATCAGGGAACAGTTTAGAAGAAATACTGACAATGATCAGGATTTAGCTAACATGATAGCCATCTTCACAAGATGAACGAGTGTGCCTAACTGTAGCTAACAAATTCCCGGTCTACCAGTCCTGCTACGTTTTCTTCTTAAAAGAGGTTCAACGGAAGGGGCTGGGAATATATGTCCGTGACTAGAGCAGAACCTTTCGAGCAGCAGCTGGCGGCTCCCAGTTCTCTATTAAACAACTTTGCTCTTTTATTGTACAATAATATTTCACAAGCAGCACCAAAACTTAAGGAATTTCCTTCCATCCTGCAAATCTGTCACCTCGGCTGCCTCACTCCTCTAAAGCAATCACGAGGGAGTGAAAGAAATAAAAGCTTTATTGGGATTTGTGGGCAGGAACATGCTTCGTACAATAGACCCATCACTCTACCTGAGCAGTCACTCAATAAATACTTACTCAATACTCGCGCTCGGGGAAATGAAGTAGCGAGCCGGATATATTGTAATATAAACATGACATAATATTTTCTGAAAATAATACGGGGAATTGTTTGTTTGGCGTAAATTGCCGAAACACGCTTTCCAAAGACTGAAGAGGTGTTTATTAGTTCAGAGCTAAGAGTTTACAATCCTGTAAAATCATTTTTCATTCTAAGCCTTGGGAGCGTTGTGAGTATTTGGAATTGAAGCACAGCCAGTGACTGATTATTTTAAAGGGCAACTTAGCTTTAATTAGGTTATTTATTAAAAGGAAGTTTGAGCAAATCATTTCATTTCGGTGCCGCACATCGCTGCAAGATTTTTTTCTGCCCTGGTAAACTAAGTATTCAGTGAGATTTAGGGGTTAAAGTGACACTGAACTCTGGAGTTAAAATGCATTCAACTACCTTAACTATTAACAAATCTTATTTGTGTATCACTTGGCTGTAGATCCTCAAATAATCTCTGAATTGGTGCCGACACTGTCCTTCCTTCTGGAGGGTGACTACTTTACAACACACACAGGGACCATGGGGAACAAAAGTAGTCACCCTCCAGAAGGAAGGACAGCGTCAGCAGGAATCTAGACATGATTTGAGGATCTGCAGCCAAGTGATACACAAATAAGACACATTTTTGTTAATCGTTATGTGACTTGAATGCATTTTTAGGATTTACTTCTAAGTTTACTGTCGCTTGAAATGCATGATGATTTAAACATTAAAGTTAGTGTAAGGGTGTCATATTTATGAATGTAGACCTCATTCACATCTGCATTGATCAACACAGACTCAACGCAAGAGAACAATTGTGCCCTGTTCACACCATACAAGTGTGTTGGGAAAAAATGCAGCAGGTCTGCATTTTCAGGCAACACAAAGCACAAAAATGCATTACAACACACGGATGAACGCTGCCATGGTCTGTTGTGCATAGAGTTAAATTATTTTTTTAACATTATATATATATATATACAATTGTGATTATTATTAAAAAGCTTTATTCCTTTCACTAAATTATTTTTCTTTTTACTTGCAATGCACCTCTGAACTTGTTAGTGAACTAACAGTCCCGTCCAGAAAGTGTCAATACCCTATCAAAGCCTTCCCCCCCCCTCCCCTCCTTGCACGTTAATAGCTCTTTCCTTCTTTCCTTCTCTGGGAATGTTTAAAACGGTCTGTACTGTCCCAGCTCCTCCGCCCCTCCTCTCACCTCAAATTTTATGTAGCTGCTGGGGGAGGAGCAAAGGGGGATATTAAAGTGTGTCACTTGAGTGACAGACCTCTGTCTGGTGGGGCTGCTGACATCACATCCAAAATGGTGGTGTCCAGCAGCAGTCTCAGGGATTTCAGATGTCTGTGCACATAAGGGCGAATTGTACATCTAAGTAACATGCATGAAATATGTTAAATGCTCATCTTATCAGAGGATTGTTGTTGAAATGGATGGTCTGGCGACAGCGTCTGTTAAAATCCATCTACTAAATACCAACGTAGCAAGAAACATTACCAATCGTTGGGATCTGTACTAACAGTTTCAAACATTGCGGATTTCAGCTAAAACTAAATTCAGATGTTAGCCTAAGTGGTGAGCACGTTCAATAGTTTGAGCAATGTGTTTCTGCTGCGCTTAACTTCTGTCTGCCTCCCTAAACTAGTTTGTCTTTATGCGTTGGATGCTACAGTAATTTCTTTAATGAAATTGATGGAAGTCCCTTTCCCAGCCCCAACTGAAACCAATTTATTGGTCATGATACGCCAGCTATGTTGCTAACAGTCGTAACGAACTGTCAGGCAATATAGCAGTGGAGCTAATTTGAAGTCATTAGGTGTGCAGCGTTTGGGCAACAATTTGTTACAGCGGTTAGGAGCGCAGCTGACATCTCAGGAATGGCTTTGTTCGGACTTACCACTAGATGAAGCCAGGCAAATTGTAAACTAATTTAAACATCAGTCTGTATTATAGCTCGCCGGGCTACTTTGCCCGTACACTGTTTTTCTAATAAAGCGCCCAAATTAATCCGCGGCTGGTTAAAGAGGTGAGTTTGGGCTTTATCTCGCTACCTGCAACCTGGAAATGTAAATGGAATAATCACGCTCAAAGTCACACACAAAGCAGGAGCTCCGAGCTGGCGTTCAGTTTGATTAGTGCGTGTGGCTCTGATAGAACAAGATGCAGACAGACCAGCCAGAGCGCCCAGTTGAAATCAGCTTTCCCGGCTTGAGTGCACAGAAAGCCATTAGATTGCTTTGGCTAGTCACATTGCCTTTGTTTAAAGGCGGATGCGGCGGCTGGGGCACGTAACGGTACAGGAGAGATGTATTTTTTCCGACACGACGTCCAACTCGATAAATATTTATCTCTATAGATCTCCCGCTGTTTAAATTGCAGTCCAGTTACAGTATTTAGCCTTATTTTCCCATCCGAAATCAATGCAGGTGTGCGCCGCGTGGATTTAACTCTTCACGCCTGCAAGGAAAGTTCCGTTAAATCAGGAGACTTGGACTTAAGGGTGAACTCCAGACATACAACTGAACTGATTAGAGGTGTTGTATTATTTTCAATGAACACAGGCCTTCTCTGATTGGATGAGGGTAGATTGTGATGTCAACTGCCCCTCCTTTCCAACTCATCCAATCAGGGAACGTCTTATAGTCGTTGACAAGAAATACAATGCATTTTCTGAATGGAGAAGGTGCCAAGTGAGTCCCTCCAGCACCACCAGCACAGGAATGCACTTTCTATATGTGGCACAAACTGCTTCGATGATTTTGAGACTCCCATGCAGCCCTCTGGAAGTGACATATTTATTCCCAATGTAGATTTTGAAATAGATTATTCGTAGACTTCAGTTTAAACAGTCTACTACAGTGCACATATATTTTAAGGAATATCCACATTATAACTAAACTTTGTATTATAACCAACATGATAAATAAAAATAATTGAAACAAAAACACTCCATGAAATTAGGTATATCTTCAATGCGTTGTTGTGTTCTAGTGACAGGTACACTGTAGTAGCCTTAAATCAACTGTGTGCCAGTATTCTGAAGCAGAACAATATGAAACACTGTAGTCTATAGATTATGTTTCAGCAAGGCATTTTTTCAGTTAATCCTTTCTCCAGATTATCTGCTAAGAAGTCCCTTAATCTTCTTTTTCAGACACCTTTGACCCCACCAGTTTACTTTAGAATTATATACCTATTAGGAATATACATGACTCTAATCTAGGTTTGGTCATACCATTGCTTATCACCAGCTACATTTTGCAAAGAAAATCCGATACACACTGATAACATAGGTCAGGTAGTTTGGGTTATCAAATATTTCTATAAATGTTTGGCTATGAAACTTTTCAATCTGATATAAAAAGTGGCACAGTTCTCTTGATAATGGATATGGACCTTTTTTATAATAGTGCCTGAAATAAGAAGTGTAACTGGTCTGCCTATAGGAGCTAGTTAAGTTATCTTTCAGCTGGTGGACTG